AAAAATTATATTAATGTAAAGTTGAGATTTATGGTATGAAACCGTCCCGTCACGCTCACTGCGTTTCCCGTGATCTTGGTTTGTATTTGGCCATGTCAGGTCATTCGCTTTTACATTAAATCAACATCGTCAAATTTCAAATCGGGCGTATAAGTGGTCTGTTCGAAAAATATCACTAAAGCACTTCAACGCAAGCCTCAAAAGTATATAAGTAATTCATAAAATACTCATCAGTCTAGTCTGACTATATTTCTAAATTATTAAAAAAAACTAACACACAAGTTACGTTGATCTTTAAGTTAAGCATGCGGTTTTTAATACGTTTTTATTAGCTTCAGACGTATGTCATATTATGTTAGTATATCGGCGGTCAGTGCTGGAGTCATGGTCCAGACGGCTGGCTGATCCTTCGGCTGGTCGTAGGACCGTCGAGGCGATTTGCCCGGTCCTTGTGGATTGGGTGAATCGTGACAGAGGACGCCTCACTTTCCGGCTTACGCAGGTGCTCACTGGGCATAGTTGTTTCGGTAAGTTCCTGCACCGGATCACAGCCGAGCCGACGGCAAAGTACCACCATTGGGGTTGCGACTTGGACACGGCAGAGCATACGCTCGTCGCCTGCCCCATTTGGGAGGGGTGGCGCCGTGTCCTCGTCGCAAAAATAGGAACCGACTTGTCGTTGCCGAGTGTTGTGGCATCGATGCTCGGCGAGGCAGCGGGACGCGTGAGAGATGCACATTCCCGCCGCCGTCGAGCGGGGGCCAGGGAGGCGGATCTCGCCCAAGCCCTGGCCCTCTTAGTGTTTCGGGTTCCCCTCACATGTCGGTCTGGGGACCGGCGAGGGGTGCCTAAGAAGACGACGTGCAAGCTGCTCTGCACGCGTTTTACGCAAGAGCATCCGGGTGATGGAAGGCCGGCTATCCTCGACCCACGCTGGTTCTGGTCCAGCGGGGTATTCCGTAGGGTAACCCACTCTAACCGGCGCCACCTAGGCGGGCTTCGGACAGTCTGCCGACCGAGAGGGCTGGTGGTCGTGGCGCCGACGACCGCCAGTCCGGCGTCCCGAGGGGGAGGGTGATGAGAGAGATGTGCTCCGCACTAAACGATTCACTTTCCCCCCTTTGCCTTGTCATGAGTTCTGTCTCATGCGAGGTTTGGACGTTGGTTGTTGAGCGACAGGAGGTTTTAGTCAGTTCGACTGCCAATACTCCGCCCAGTATCCTCAGAAAATGGCGGAAGTCCGGCGATTTCCTACTGACCAAAAAAAATAATGTTAGTATGTAACGAAATCTTTGGTGGTAAGACCTCTTGTGAGTCCGCACGGGCAGGTACCACCGCCCTGCCTATTTCTGCCGTGAAGCAGTAATGCGTTTCGATTCGAAGGGTGGGGCAGCCGTTGTAACTATACTTGAGACCTTGGAACTTATATCTCAAGGTGGGTGGCGCATTTACGTTGTGGATGTCTATGGGCCATAACCACTTAACACCAGGTGGGCTGTGAGCTCATCCACCTATCTTAAACAATAAAAAAAAACTGTTTTATATGTATGTGCTAATTTAATAATCTCTTCTGAATTTTTTGTATCACATATGTACTTATATTTAGAAAAGAGCAAACCCTGACTTTCTTAACAAATCTGTGATAAACATAGCATTAAAATCCCAATAGAAGACCTAAGGTACTCGAATCAACAACTCTTTCATAATGATATGTCACACAACCTTATTGGAAATTTTGCGCTATGGCACAAAAAGAAAATCGCTCTCATCCAGCCTCCGGTAAGAGATTGGCATTATAAGAAGTATAAAAAGAAATCTCAAATTGGGTGTTGGCTTTCTTTTGTTCATGGACTACGATAACTATTCACTAGATAGGGCATTAAGTCATCCAATTTACGCCATTAAAAGTCATCAATCAGGACAGTTTGAAGAATCACTATTGTTAAAGCAATCTTGAGTTTCGGTTTAAAGGGTATTATTATTGGCGAATGTTGTCAAAGAAGCTTAGATCCTTAGACCTTATAGCAGGACGACTAACCAATAGGTTTTTTTTACGTCGTACTGTTAACATTTAAATTTAACCTATTTCTCCGCTTTTTGTAAAATTGCTGTAACATGTCATAGTGTGTTATAAGAGATTGCTGTACATGCCTGTAACTGGCTTACATACCAGTACTTAATTTTATACATGTTAATTTTAAGCTTGAATGTTTTGTGTGTATTGCTGTTGGTGTGTCTAAATAAATAAATAAATAAATAGGTCATAAAATTGGACCTAGTAAAAGAATTGATGCTCAGCTTCGCTAACAGAAATCAATCTTATCGATTATAATTGTTAAAGAATAGCAAAACTCCGTAAATTCGAAAGTCGGTCAAATAAATAACATGGTACAAAAAATAATAACACAACAACAATAATTTTCAACTATTTTCATTGCCCGTAATATATTTTTCAAGCGTAAAAGAGACGTAACGAGTGAAAGAGGCCACCGTATTTCCGTGAGCACCAGACTGGGCGGGACCTCGACCACGCCTACAGACGATATCGATTGAGTCCGATCCGACAACATTAATTTATTCATAATTCATGTTTCGTGATGTGACTCAGCACGTTTCGCGACGGCTGTATCACTGAAGTTAGCGTAAATGAATTTTTTGAAAAAAAAACAAAAAAAACTTTTGTTCATATTACCGGTGTTGCAAGATTGCTTCTCACCTGGACCAATCTAATTTAGCTCCAGCAAAAATTAACATTATCCACCTGCCTATATCTGCCGTGAAACCTTTTTGTCAAATGTCCAATAGCTAGATAATAGAAGTCGTCGTGGCCTAACGGATAAGACGTCCGGTGCATTCGTGTTGAGCGATGCACCGGCGTCCGAATCCCAGGCGAGTACCAATTTTTCTAATGAAATACGTACGTTATTACTGGTGGTAGGACCGCACGGGTAGGTACCACCACCCTGCCTATTTCTGCCGTGAAGCAGTAATGCGTTTCGGTTTGAAGGGTGGGGCAGCCGTTGTAACTATAATTGAGACCTTAGAACTTATATCTCAAGGTGGGTGGCGCATTTACGTTGTAGGTGTCTATGGGCTCCAGTAACCACTTAACACCAGGTGGGCTGTGAGCTCGTCCACTCATATAGGTAATAAAAAAATAATAAAAAAAAACCAACGTTCACGATTGACTTCCACGGTGAAGGAATAATATCGTGTAATAAAAATGAAACCCGCAAAATTATAATTTGCGCAATTACTGGGGGTAGGACCTCTTGTGTCCCATTTAAAATGTGATTTAAAAACATGGGGTATCACAGTAGCTTTTTTTATTGCTTAGATAAAGTGGTTACTGGAGCCCATAGACATCTACAACGTAAATGCGCCACCCACCTCGAGATATAAGTTCTAAGCTCTCAGTATAGTTACAACGGCTACCCCACCCTTCGAACCGAAACGCATTACTGCTTCACGGCGGAAATAGGCGGGGTGGTGGTACCTACCCGTGCGGACTCCCAAGAGGTCCTACCACCAGTGAACATGGCTGAGCTTTACCAGTTTAAAATCAAAAAGCCCTCAACGCTACGGCCTCAAGTTTTGCAATGTTAGTTGTTGTTTGTAAAGTTTGTGTGTTTGTAAAGTTTTGTAATGTTGTTGTGAAACTTTCTTCCTTCCCTTCCCACGTCATCCGGGTAGTGGAAGCTCGCTACACCTCAGTGTAATTCAATGAAACTTGAAGAGCACTTCTAATTTTGCGTAATAACCAGTGTTGGTATATTTTAAACTCGTAAGGGTATGATCGCGCTGCCTATGACTGCTGAAAACTTACCCATATATGAGGCCATCAGCGCAAAAGTGGCCTAACCCACAATTTTTTTTATATTCAAGCTTATATGACGTATATTCGAATTTATTTAAAATATCATATTTTTTTATGCAAATCCGACCTATCCAGTTTCACCCATAGATAGTAGATAGCTTTGTAAACGTTATTTTTGGGCGTATTGTTTTTTTGCTTACTCAAATTTAAATTCATGAAAATTCAAACCTAATTGCCTCCATACTAACTATGGTAAGCTTAGGCCACTTTTGCGCTGACGATCTCATATATGTTTATAGTTATATTATATATAATATATGTGTAATATAATGATATGGAATACTTTAGAATTATTAAACAATAAAAGCCTTAATTGGGTTGTCTGTGATATAATAAGAAAACAACATTTAAAGCCCTTAATCACTTTAAAAAATAATGTAAAACATTAAACAGTATTATTAAACTATAGAAGACTGACCTTGTTTTCACTGAATGACAGACAGATGAGTTTCTCAGATTCCGTCTAAGAAAAATCTTTTTTAAAACTAAAGAGTTTTAAAGGTTTTAAACGATAAAGGTTTGTCTATACATATGTAAATAATTCTGGTTTTAAAGACGGGAATAGAACTCCGACTTCATGTCTCATAGTTTTGATATTTAGCTTCTGATATCTTTAGCTCGTAGCTGACACGTCATTTCGGATCCTCCCGATATCCACTAATAGTGCTTTTAGGTACCTCAAGCACCGGTCATCGTTCTCGTCGAACCCGTCGCTTGCGACGAAGGGCTCGACGAGTGAATTAACCCATAGAACCACTGAGTTTCTCGCCGGATCTTCTCAGTGGGTCGCGTTTCCGATCCGGTGGTAGATTCTACGAAACACTGCTTTTGTTAGGGTTAGTGTTAGCAACGACGTCAGGTTTGAGCCCCGCGAACTCACTTACCTGTTAAGGCTACGCTGAAATAGTCTCTTAGGACTATCAGCTTGGGTAGAATGGGTAGCAACAAAAAAAAGAAGCTCGTCCTCTCATCGCGTGTGTTACCTTCTCTATCTAGATTTAGATAGATCGTTTCTCTTCCTCTACACGGGAACTGGCTTTGTCTTCTACTCCCCATGAAGAATTATGTCACTTTACTTGGATTGAAGATCACGCAAACCACTAATCGAGGTTTTCGTCTACAGAAAAGCTCCGGCTCTCGTTGTGCGTCGGCTGCGGAGGTCAGATCCACGACCAGTACATCCTGCGGGTGGCCCCCGACCTGGAGTGGCACGCGGCCTGCCTAAAGTGCCAGGAATGCCGGCAGTTCCTCGACGAATCCTGCACGTGCTTCGTTAGAGACGGAAAGACTTATTGCAAAAGAGATTATACTAGGTAAGTGACTTATTAAGCTGTTAGGTCAATTTCCGTCAGAATACAGAATACCAATTGCGATTTATCACCGGATTAATCACGTTCGACAAAAAGCTTTGATTAATAAAAATACTAGATATATTACCTAGTATACTAGTTGTCTACTCTTAGCCGCTAACTCTGAAAGGAGTCTGTACACTATCGCCAAAGTTAAAATTAAATTTTATATTAATATACTACTACATGATAATAACATTATTATGTTAAGTTTATTTTAAATTATGTATAGTATTGTAAATGTAAATGCTTAGGATAAACCAACCCTTCTTACACTAGCAATGATCGACAATTTTTTCAGTACTAGGTATTTGGATAGTTCCTACATTCAAATACGTGGTCCGACAATGCTACAGACTTTTTACTTTTTAAGCCTCGGAACATTGAACCCTGTTTATATTTTAGAAAGAATAATGAAAGTTTAAATTACAAAATACTTACGATGATCTACAACGAACAAACAGTTTTATCGCTTAAACTATTCTAGCTTCACTTAATTTTTATTACTCTGGATTTTAATGGAGGTACGCACTTAAACATTCCAAAAATAACTCTTACAATGTCTATAAAACATTAACTAATAAACGATCGAAATCTATTTAAGTAGATCGTGTTTAAAACAAAATTACGAATAGAACTATTTTAGAACTTACAAGCTAAAACATTCATTGCACGAAACGAAATAAAAAAAAAATCATAACCGAATGTCAATCAAACATCGCGCCGGCGCCTCTTTCTATACAAATTCACTAAAATAACTCTCATCTGTTTATCTTTTCACCCTTCCATCTAGCGCGGCCAAAATATAATATTACCGGGCGCAGAATAACATTTGACAGCTGTCAAAAATTACGCCTAACACCAAACGCTCTTACGACGTTAAAATAAAGGCGAGTTCAGGCTTCCCGATTCGATTGCGGCCGCAATAAAATTTGGTTTCGTATTTTCTGATGTGGCGAAGAGAAAACAAACGGCTTCGACTGAGCATTATGTATTTTGGCGCCAAAACAAACGTCAGAATGACAGCGCGGCGGGCGGCGGGAACCCGATCCCTCAGTGCTGTGTTTGTTTCCGTTTACACCGGGCCGGATAAGCGGGTTTTCGATTACATTTTTCTTTCGTATCGATAAACAAACATTACGTGAATACCTTTATTTTTGTATTCGGGAATGCAAATAGTCTTTTTGACGGCAGCTAATGTTTCTTGATTGTCAAATCTTCGTTGATTTTAAAAATGCGATTTCATTAGTTACTTTGAAGGTTCAAATAAACATCTCTAAAGCTTATTTTAAAGAAAACGTCACCTCAAACATTCTCAGTTCGTTAATCATTGTTATAGATTAAGCACAAAACAATACAGACATTAATAAGAATTTCCGAACATCAACAGATTCATTGGATCTGAAATTATGTACGTGTATCTGTAAAGACTGTATTTAAATGCATTAATTGAGTCGACTATTATCAAAGGCGGCAATCTGACTTTTGGACAATGATTGGTAAATCAGAAAAACGAATTATTGACTTTGTATTCCATTGGCAGTCACAAAACTCTTCGGAACGACATCTTAGATAAATAACAGGTTAACTATTAACCTTTATTTAATGCAGGTTTTAAACCGTATTCTTTGAAGGAGACGATTATATTCNCAATCTGACTTTTGGACAATGATTGGTAAATCAGAAAAACGAATTATTGACTTTGTATTCCATTGGCAGTCACAAAACTCTTCGGAACGACATCTTAGATAAATAACAGGTTAACTATTAACCTTTATTTAATGCAGGTTTTAAACCGTATTCTTTGAAGGAGACGATTATATTCAAATAAATCTGTATTGACATATCAATAAAATTTTTTTGTCCAAATGCACAGATTGCCACCTTTGATAATAGACGACTCAATTATATGAAGAAAAAAAAAATGATTTTGCCGAACAAATATTTCTCTCCCATCAGCAGTTGGGTACTTACGTTTCTCACAAACATAAGTATCATGATTCTCCACACAATCGACCGACACACCGGACTTCCTCACCGACCTATAAGCGTTCACATTATCTAAACACTACAATAAAATTAACAATGAACAAAAGTCAATTATGAGACGGATGAAAAAAGTAAACAATATCTTCATCGCAACTTCCTAAGGATGTTACTGTATTTGTTTTGTATATTTTGTTATGAACAATCAGGATACGTTTAGTCTGTTTTGTTTAGAAGATAGATGAGCTATCGGCTGAGCTGACGGAAAGTTGTTACTCTAGCCCATGGACTTCAGTAATGGCAGAGGTCACAGCGAACTTCGTGTTCTTTTTTTCCCCTATTTATTTTATTTATGTACACACAAAAAAGAAGACATAGTACAGAGTAATAGGAAAATTATGTACAAAGGCACTGCTTATATCTTTAAGAAATCTCTTCCAGCAGACCTGCGAGAGGATTATGAGAATAATAATTAAAAGTGATGAGTAGTACCCCGACTTAATCGCTGGCAGCTTAAGAGGCTATCCTAGCTACACCCGGTAGGATAGATGAGCTCACGGGCTCAACCTGAGAGAATTAGCTAACACTAGCCCTAGCAAGAGCAGTGCTTCGCTGAATCCACCACCGGATCGGCAATGCGACCCACAGAAGATCCGGCGAGAAATTCACTGGGCTGTGTCTATGGGTAAAATGTTCGTTAATGACATTTTACCAATACACCACCTTCTCCTTTCTCCAACCTTATTCTCTCATCCCGCAAAAGTAGGTGTCATTCTTTCTTCAGTCGAGAAGGTGTACCTAATGCAACTCTATTAAGTCCTCGACCAAATCCAAGCCAATCTGTTTTTTTTTCCTACCTATTCTAGAAACCTCGAGGGGTTATTCTAGATTCGCCGAATTAGTAGGTGAGCTCACGGGGCTCAAACCTGATGACGTTGCTAACACGAACCCTAGTAAGAGCCGTGCTTCGCAGAATCTACCACCGGATCGGAAACGCGGCCCACTGAGAAGATCCGCCGAGAAACTCAGTGGGCTGTGTCTGTGGGTTAATTTACTCGTCGAGCCCTTCGCCGCAAGAATGATGACTGGTGCTTGGGGTACTTAAAAGCACCGTTAGTGAATCGGGAGGATTCGAAATGACGTGCCACTCTGTGATGTGTATAGGATATAACAACAAATTAACATCAAATCGAGCGTAAGATTCGTCGCAATAACACAACTAATACAGATATAAATATACCATGTCGTGATCTACGCCGTGTAGACAGTAGGTCCGTGTCATTACAGTGTAAGTCATGAACGACAGTCGGTGACCCGTCCTGCGTCAATTAGCCGTAACACGAAACTCTCCCAGACTATACGGTTACAATATTTACGTACAAAATTGATCTGTTAAAAGAGAGAACGGGGGCTGACGGAGTTTCCTGAAGCGTGATTTGAGGGCGATTTAAAAGAGAATGATTTCTTTCTTTTCGTCTGATTGATTATCGTCGGTTTTGGAAATTGACTATCTCTGGTTACTACTAAATAGCCTCGGAAATTCTACTGTGGAAGGATGCGGGAACCCACCGCTAGCAATTTTCCCAAGAAACCCTTTACGTATGTATTCCGTAAAGGTGACGATCCTCAGCACTGAAGAACACGACGCACGGAGGAGAGGTCACCTGGTTGGATGGCGGGGGATGACAGAAGTTCCTTCCTGACAGAGCCAGATAGTATAGCAAAGATCTCTGGTGGTAGGATCTCTTGTGAGCCCCCGCGGGTAGGTACAACCACCCTGCCTATTTCTGCCGTGAAGCAATAATGCGTTTCGGCTTGAAGGGTGGGGCAGCCGTTGTAACTATACTTAAGACCTTAGAACTAATATCTCAAAGTGGGTGGCGCATTTACGTTGTAGATGTCTATGGGCTCCAGTAACCACTTAAAACCACGTAGACCGTGAGCTCGTCCACCCATCTCAGCAATAAAAAAAGAAAAATCTCGGTCGATCGTTATTAAAATGAAATGAAAATCCTTCTATGGATGCAAGGGCTTTTAAGGGTTATAGGCAGACAGATACCAAAACGTCTAGAGCGCAAAAGTCAAATATATTTAACAAAAACTCTTACTCCGTAGGAATCTAACATGAAACCTGTCCATAATGAATCCTGTATAACCTTCCCAATAGATTAGATAACACATAAGCATCGGAGGGGATTTCCCCGTGCTTTAAAAGAAAAATGCCAAAGACGACGTAGCCCATGTCAGATATAAATAGTTAAACCTTCAAAAACATTATCTATCATTATGATCTTATTTATCATTAAGGTCATTAAGATATTTTCTTGATCATTGCGAATTTAAAGAACGATCATAACGATAACTTAATATTTACATAGAATCCTTATCGCTTATCAAGCTGTTTATTTAGTTCTGACGGCGCCAAGCTGTTACCTAGTTCCGTCCGTAGGTTTGCTCGGGAATATATAAAATTTCGTACGCAGGGTTGGTGTGAGGAATTGTTCGAAAATAAACATAGGCATACGTTTTAGGCCGTATCAAGGATAATCTTAGCAATAAAAAAATATATCAAGATTAGCGGTATTTTTTTTGGGACTAGCTCCCATTTTACTTAGTACTTAACAAAATATGTTCACGATTGACTTCCACGGTAAAGGAATAACATAGTGTATTAAAAATCAAAACCCACAAAATTATAATTTGTGTAAGTAAATTACTGGTGGTAGGACCTCTTGTGAGTCCGCACGGGTAGGTACCACCACCCTATCTATTTCTGCCGTGAAGCAATAATGCGTTTTGGTTTGAAGGTTAGGGCACAGTCGTTGTAACCATACTGAGACCTTAGAACTTATATTTCAAGGTGGGTGGCGCATTTACGTTGTAGATGTCTATGGGCTCCGGTAACCACTTAACACCAGGTGGGCTATGAGCTCGTCCACCCATCTAAGCAATAAAAAAAACTTTTTTAACTCAATCGCTGTACAAAGTAATACCTTATTATTGATATTTAGCTGTTACACCGTATTTAATAAGTAATAGTATGGAAAAACTAAAAAACACGGTTTTAATAGAAAATCCAACTAAAAATAGACAATAAATTGATTGTAAAAAAAAGCTCGGTCTGCTTTTTAAGATATTATCATATTAATAATCCATCTACTCAATCTGTTAATAAAATATTTATAACTGTTGACCCGACGCCTATTTTTACAATAAATTTATTTTCTATTTTTAGTTTGGTTTTCTATAAATGCGTGTTTTTTTTCGCTTAAAAGCACTTCAAGATGACTCGTGATTTTTGTCGGAGTTTGATTCATTCATTATTGATTTCACATTATTAATAGCGTTCATTATATTAACACATTATTATTATATTAGTTGCAGTTACGAATAGTCTTGTTAGTCTGTGGTAGGAAGACAGAAAGCCCGCCAAAACTGAAACATGCAAAAATTGTGTTAACATTTTTTTTTACTATTACGAACGTTGTATATAGATTAATGATTCACTACAAATGCAATTTTACTACATAGTATAAAACAAAGTCACTTTCTCTGTCCCTATATCAATATGCATCCTTAAGTATGCTTAAATCTTTAAAACTACGCAACGGATTTTGATGCGTTTTTTTTAATAGATAGAGTGATTGAAGAGGAAGGTTTTATGTATAATAACATCCATTAAATAGTGGAGAAATCAATAATAAATTACAGTTTTCGAAGCGAAGCCAGGGCGGGTCGCTAGTGTATAATAATTGTTTTGTCTAATTAAACATTGTGTACGTTGATACTAAAAATATGATAGATAATTAAGTAGTCTAATCTAGTATTTAAAAGAAGTATTTAAAGAAAAAAGACAGCAGTTTTGATGATTGTTCATTGTTGATGTTCATGAACATTGGTGATCATAACGTAGGCCGTATGGTCGCTTCTTCGTTTGCCTATTAAAACAATAAAAAGGCATAGTTCGATTCAATCCACCTGCCATATAATAAAGAGGTTTGCATATCACAAAGCCAGTAGTACCGCCAAACATAACCACAGCCTATCTATAGGCGAGGCTTTTAGTAAAATTGCCCGGGGGTTGGGCAGGGGTCATTGACACCGGAGCTTGCACTTAGCACGAGCTTTTAAAAGATATTTTGGGGGTTACAGTTTGCTTTTCGGGCGGCAATCGGGGTGCCTTTCACGATTGGATATTTTTTTTTTTAAAGTAGTTGTATTTGTTTTTTTCTATTTATTAACATTGATCATCGGTTGCATAGACTAAGTACATGTTAGGACAGACTTATTATAGTAATATTGACACGTCCATCTTATATCTAAAGGTGGGCGACGGCGTTACCATCATAATGTCTAAAGGAATGTAGTCGGTAAATTAGTGTGAGCTGTAAATCTAGCAATAAAATAGAGGCGTTTTAGAATGTCTTAGGTTTGGTAAAAAAAAATAATGAAATAGATTTTTATACAAGCCCATCTGTTTTAAAGCGGTCACACCTCGAAACACGAGTTGAAAACCTCAATAGTTTTGTTTAAAGGCTTCTGAAAGACCACCCTTCAAACGGCTTCAGTGGCGGTAGGTCATCTGTTACCCTGGCATTACTGGCTTTTTTTATTGCATTGATGAGTTGACGTGCTCACAACCCACCGGATGTTAACTAGTTACCCGAACCCATAGACAACTATAGCGTAAATGCCGCCGCCTACCTTGAGATATGAGTTCTAGGAGGTCTCAGTATAGTTACAACGGCTGCCTCACCCTTCAGACCGAAACGCAATACTGCTTCACGGCAGAAATAGGCGGGGCGTTGGTACCTACTCGTGCGGACTCAAAGAGGTCCTACCACCAGTAATTAGGCAAATTTTAATTTTGCCGGTTTGATTTTTATTACACGGTATTATTCCTTCACCGTGAAAGTCAATCGTGAACATTTGTTAAGTACGTATTTCATTAGAAAAATTGGTACCCGCCTGCGGGATTCGAACACCGGTGCATCGCTAGATACGAATGCACCGGATGTCTTATCCTTTAGGCCACGACGACTTCAATCCGTGAGTGACGGGAACTACTCATCATCAGGTCCTCCTGCACACGTTCCTCTGCCCACAATATAAATATGACAATATGTATTGACTATACCGTAAATAGCAATCGGTACCCGCAGGACGGCGGCATAATTAGCAAACAGCGAACACTCATTACCAGGTGAACGTTTTAGCCGCCTTTTGAACACCCATGGGATATAGGATAGTGCTATTTTAGGCCACGCGTCTTTAAATATACCAGCAATAACTAGATTGGCCGTTTAGATTATCGATCCCATATCGGTTTGCCATCAACCATCAATCGCATCCCCGGGATATTTTCGGTAGAAATCGCCTGTGCCTTTATCGTTGCATCCGTCGACTTTTAACCACTTACTACCAGGCTCTCGTGTGCTCGCAATCTTTTTTTTTATTGCTTAGATGTATGGACGAGCTCACAGCCCACCTGGTGTTAAGTGGTTGCTGGCGCCCATAGATATCTACAACGGAAATGCGCCACCCACCTTGAGATATAAGTTCTAAGATTCCAGTATAGTTACAACGGCTGCACTACCCTTCAGACCGAAACGCATTACTGTTTCACGGCAGAAATAGGCAGGGCGGTGGTACCTACCGGTGCAGGCTCACAAGACGTCTTACTATCAGTAATTTCGCAAAGTTTAATTTTTCGGATAATGTACATTTTTATTAGACGACATTATTAATTCACCGTGGAAGTCATCGTGGCCTAAAGGATAAGACGTCCGGTACCTACCCGCGCGGACTCACAAGAGGTCCTGCCACCAGTAATTTATCATAAATACACCACAAAGTAGCGTAATCAGTTAAGTAATTTATATCGCCATTTGTCCTCAGATTATTCGGCACGAAATGCGACAAATGCGGCGCGTCCTTCAGTAAAAACGACTTCGTGATGCGTGCCAAGACGAAGATATACCACATAGATTGTTTTAGATGCTGCGCTTGTGCCCGACAACTTATACCTGGTAAGCATTCTTGACTGGCTCCAGGCCAGTATGCCTATGCCCTAAAACTAACGGCCCTTGCTGTGACATGACTACATAAGCACATTTGTACTTCGAATAACATGGAAAGACGCTGACTGATTGGCAATCAAAAGCCTGTAAAGGATTGTCATATGCCCTAAAACCAACGGCCCAAGCTCTATTCTGTTGTGACATGACTACATAAGCACATTTGTACTTCGAATAACATCGAAAGACGCTGACTGATTGGCAATCAAAAGCCTGTAAAGGATTGTCATATGCCCTAAAACCAACGGCCCAAACTCGATTCTCTTGTGACACGAGAATACATAAGCACATTTGTACCTCGAATAACATCGAAAGACGCTGACTGGTTGGCAATCAAAAACCTGTAAAGGATTTTCATCGGTTGTCAAGAGTCTTAGATATAAATAGAACTATACTTACAGTTTAATACCCCATTCTTTATTGTAATTATATTAATTTGGACGTTTCGAACTTACCTGGGTCATATCTGATGCTGGATCCGGTTTGGTTTCTGCCGCAGCACAGAGACACTTGGACCTCATCTCTCGAGGCTCTAATTCAAGTCCACATTCTAGGTGACGAATTCGCGTTGCGAGAAGGCGGAGCGCTCTATTGTAGAGAAGATCACGATGTTTTAGAAAAGGTAATACCGATTTTGAGCAACTAACTTCGCTTCGAATGTTTATAGCTGTTGCTAGTTTTTATATGCGACTCCAGTTGCGTTAATATATATTTTTATTGCTTAGATAATGGGCCCATTTCGTGGTAAATGGTTACCGACATATACAACATAAATATCACCATTCAACTTGAGACAAGAGTTCTAAGGTTTTACAGTACAACGGCTACCCCACCCTTCAAACCGAAACGCATGTACTTCACGGCAGAAATATGCAGGGTGGTGGTACCTACCCGTGCGGGCTCACTAGACGTCCTACCACCAGTAAACCATTGGGCATTGCAATTCGCTAGTACAGACACAACGATGCCGCCCATTCTCTGTTGAATCCGAACGAATATTATCCGTTAAGTTTGCAAAGGTTCAGTTTTATTTCTGCTTCGTTAAGTAAAATTGTGATTTTGTTTCTGCAGAGCGCGAACACGAGCGGCGGGAGTAGTAATAATGCCGAGAGCAACAATAATACGACGCTAAGTAACAATAACTCGCATCATCCCCATGAGCTCGGGTCTATGTCAGGTGAGTGAAGTCCCCCCGTTGCTATGTTGAAGGCATTATCTGTTAACTGCCGACTATATTCGCTGAGTCATTTGGTTACCAGATCGAGTAGACTTCGCTAAAACATCAGACTGGCATTTTAAAGGCAGAATATGAAATCAATATGAAATACGCATGCGATTGAAAAAAAAACAGTTTTAAATTGAGTATAGCCGGAAAACGTGTCAGATAGAATGGTGGCACATTTCGCGAATTTACAATACTTGCCCATTGAGTTTCTCGGCGGATCTTCACAATGGGTCGAGATTCCGATCCCGTGATAGATTCTACGAAGCACTGATCTCTTGCTAGGGCTAGTGTTAGCATATTCTCTTAGGTTGAGCCCGTAAGCTCACCTGCTCGTCCGGGCGTAGCTGAAATAACCTTTTAGGTTATCAGAGAATAGGCAGGGAAAAAAATTACAATACCAGTAAAGCTTTGTTTATTTATCTATATATTTTGGTAATAGAACTGAAATTCAATACGACATACCGTCTGAAAAATTACAGTTTAGTTGTCCCAGGTGTAACTGTTTAAAATTCGACCTACAAGATTATTTTCTTTGATTATCGCGAGCTGTGGTCACATTTTTGGTCACATTCATGAATAAACTGTCGACATTTTTATATATACTAGTGGTCCCGCAGTAGTCGAAATTCAACTATAATTAATTGAAACTTATCAACATTATTATGGTCCAATACTAACCTATTCTCAATTTGACTACACATTTTAAGCAATAACAAAAGTTTGACAATAAACAAAGAGTATATGTGTGTGTGTCAAATACATGGTAGTGTGTGTGATGTTTTCTTTATTGATTTAATGTATATTTATGTATTAGTTTAAAAAAATATTATGTATTAAGTGTGGAAAATTTTATACTCCTCCGTCCGCACAATTTTCGTAAAAAGGAATACAAAGTTTTTGCTTCACGTATTAATATATAGATTGTTCTAACTACCAGCTAATGATGAAATTATTTGTTGACATTCACGCGTCTATATTTTTTGACACTGAAGGAACTAACATTATCTTGAAATCTGACAGTTTGTTTAACTTGGTTTTTTCATCATCGCGATACGAAGAAACCAGGTGCTAGACAAGGGCCAAGCATCTTACCCCGAATAGCATATCTAGGATTAACTTTTTTCTCTTTAGCGACTATTTAAAATTCTTCTTCTTCTTCTTCTCAGTCGTGTCACTCTTGACAGAGTGGTCGTGATCGTCATGTAGTGTTGGAAGGGGCAGACTTGATGCGTCTCACGATGTCGCGCCATCTCTCCCTGCTCGAGGCCATTCTACTGCACTCATTTAGGGGACCTCCCACTGCAGTTTTAATTTGGTCGGTCCACCGCATTGGTGGCCTCCCGCGCGGTCTTGTACCATCAACGCTTCCCTGTACAACGAGGCGTTCTATGGACCGGCCATCTCGTCGCGAAACGTGTCCGAAGAAATTCACCATTCGAGACTGTACTATACCAAATAGACGCTGCTTGATGCCGAGTTCCTGAAGTATCGAGACATTTGTACGAAAGTCGGTCCACGAAACTCCAAGCATTCTTCTCCAGCACCACATTTCCAGAGCTTCTATTTTCTTCCTTTCCACGTCTCGCACGGTCCACGTCTCAGCAGCGTATAGAAATATAGAGAATATTAGTGTTCTAACGAGCCTGATCTTTGTGGTTTTGGTTATGTTTCTATTTCTCCATACTTTCCTCAGCCCGTCCATCATTTAAAATTAGGCAAATCTTATTCTTATCTGTGGCGGTGAAATTCGTAAGTCGAAATACCAAATAGAACAATCCACTGTAGGCATATTTGCAAACCGTAGCTGTAAAAGTAGCTAATTCATACATCAGCCCTCTGTTTCTCGCCGGATCCTCTCAGCGGGTCACGATTCCGATCCGGTTGTAGATTCATTCGCAAAGCAGTTGCGAGTTTTTAGGTCTCCTTTAGAGGCGCTCGGGCAGCTTTTAGCAAATCCTATCCCTCCTGGCTGAGCTTTTGCTCGCCCACCTGTCTTGGTGAATCTGGAAAGGCCCCCAGTAATTCTTACTTCATAAAAAAAGCAGTAAGAGTAGTTTTAATTGCGTAAATTATTCGTTTCTCACGGGACGTACAGCGGGAGACCTTTACGTTTTTTTTTCGCTATCACGGGCGATTTTTGAATGAACCTTTAAGTGGACGGTTTGGCTGTATTAGAACGTCGACTGTTTAAGTGTGTGATATGTGTGATATATTTATATATATAAAAATGAATTGCTGTTCGTTAGTCTCGCTAAAACTCGAGAACGGCTGGACTGATTTGGCTAATTTGGTCTTGAATTATTTGTGAAAGTCCAGAGAAGGTTTAAAAGGTATATAAATATGAAAATATCGCAATTAAATAAAAATATCAATTTTGTTTTCCCTATGATGTGTCCCTCGTCGGACGGATTCATTTTGTTTGTTTTAAGTTTATTTTATACAATAGTTTAGGTATTTTATTTATCGATTGACTGCACTGCGAATTCTGCCGGGTCAACTATTAATATTATAATGACAGAAAGTCTTGTAAATTCATTTGGTTTTCTTTCGGTTGCAACGATACACTACTAATCTATAATGATGACTCAGTAGATTTTATATTGAAATATTGTTTTGCTCAAACACGTCTCTCATTTTGGCGGCGTCTGGCGACTTATCACCGCGTTGACCGCTAGCTTCTCTGTCTACTACACCAATAAAAAGTTCACACCACAACCTATATCTATTTTCAAATCGTCTCGTAATTTCTCTATCTAAGTATATTTGTCATATTATCGAACATCACTGATTAGCGCCGTTATCAAAATATCGATACACATCCGAACATTCGAGTACCTATCGATAATCGTTTCGCGATCGTGCCGTGATTGCATCGATAACGCTTTGATGTGAGCCGACAAAGACGCCGCCCGCCTTTGATTCGGCCGACTGGAGTGTCAGTTGTTTTTATCGTAATTAAAAGTTTGGTTAAAATCTATGAAGAGTTGTGCGAGTCACACACTCTTTTTGTACGAGATATGTCCGTCACAGTTAATTTTTTTTCCTGCCTATGCTGATAGCCTTGAGAGGCTATTTCAGCGTAACCTTAACTAGTAGGTGAGCTCACGGGGCTCAAACTTGACGACGTTGCTAACACGAACCCTAGCAAGAGCCGTGCGTCGCAGAATCTACCACCGGATCGGAAACGCGACCCACTGAGAAAATCCGGCGAGAAACTCAGTGGGCTGTGTCTGTGGGGGTACAGATATATCGGAGGTGATTTATTATATCACTAGCTAAAGCCGCAACGTTTTTCGTATGCTGTCTTAATGAAATTATATAATTTAATGCCTTCGTTAAAAAGTAATCGTAAATAGCAATTATGAATTTAATCCAAATAATTAAGAGACATACAACCGTAAGAATTATGGTGTACAGTGATACTACTCCTTGTAAATTTAACATTACCTGGTGCATACACAGTTTGCTGGTGTTACTTACCCTTTTTTTTTAATTACTTACGTGGGTGGAATAACTCACAGTCTACCTGGTGTTAAGTGGTTACTGGAGCCCATTGACATCTACAACGTAAATGCCGCCACCTACTTTCAGATATACCTAAGTTCTATGATCTTAGTATAGTTACAACGGCTGCCCCACCCTTTAAACCGAAACACATTACTGCTTCACGGCTGAAATAGGCAGGGTGGTGGTACTTACCCGTGCGGACTCACAAGAGGTCCTACCGCTAGTAATTACGTAAATTATAATTTTGCGGGTATTGATTTTTACTACACGATGATAAATTCCTTCACCGTGGAAGTCATCGTGAACATCTGTTATGTAGGCATTTCATTAGAAAAATTGGTACTTCCCAGCGGGATTCGAGCACATCGCTCAACACGAATGCACGGAACGTCTTATTATTTAGGCCACGACGACGACAGACCCGTTTTAAAGCTATACACTGCGAACAGAGAAAACAACTGCCGCAGTGCTTAGTCCCTAAGTGTCAGCCCTTGCATTTTATACGGTCATTTCGAAAACAGCATTAATTAGGCATTTTTACGCTTTTAAGAAAGCCATTTTTTCATATTTTTATTTACGATATTACAAAATATATCAGTAGAATCATATTACACAGGTATTTTAAAGATCAAATGGACGGCATGTCTTCAAGGTAATGTGGCCACTGAGCCTGAAGAGGAACAGTAATTTTGGCTTAGTGTCGTTGCCAACACCCTGTCACTTTCTGTCGTGAAGCAGTAATGCATTTTGGTTTGAAGGGTGGGGCAGCTGCTTTATTGCAAAAAGAACCGAGATTCTAGACCTCATGTATCAAAGTTGGTGGCGGCATTTTCTGTCTCCGATAACCACTTAACACTAAGCGGGCCGTGAGGTCGTCCACCCATCTGAGTGAAGTTCACAAGTTCTTTATAGTTCGAATGAAAGTCTTTTCACTTCACAATAGTTTATTTAAATGTTATAATAAATCAAAAATGAAAATTTTCGGGTGCACAAAAATAAAATTTAAACATGAGATCGCGTGATATTGAGACGTGGTGGCCGAGTTGAAATTGTGCGTGCGTTCGCCGTCAGATCGTGGCTCGACTAGTCGCTGCGACCGAGCGTAAGCGATTTTGTATGTTACAATACGAGTACTGAGTAGGTATCGTTCCTACATAAAAGTAAAAATTGTATCCGGTCAATCGTTTATAATTAAGTTCGGGACCTAACCATCAATTCGCACTCGTGTCTCACCCCCACATTATTCTCCATTCATAATTACATGTGTCCAGTTAATCCTTACTTCACACCTCTTAATCCAGTCCCTAAAGCCGGACTTTGTGAATTCTTAATAGGGAATCAAGAGTCGTAATTATGTATTGGGATTAACTGGAGTTATTCAGGCACGCTCTTTTGAGACTATTGGAAAATATATACATAAAAATATACCAAATACTAGCTGACCC